GAGGCCCATGGAACCAAGGCAAGCGCTTGCTTGGGGTTAAGGTTCCTTACCCAGGATGTCACAGGGACCCTGGAAAAGGAGCACCCGGCACGAGGCGCCCTCTCCAGAGCGCAGTCCTGCAGGGACCTCTGGATGTGAAGCCTTTGCTGGGTGTTCATGGAGATTTCGCTACAGGACACAGGGCATTGACTCGCTGGCCCCTGGGGGTCCGTGTAATCTCCCTCCACCTTCTACCCCAGAGGTTGGGGCTGAAAGTCCCATCCCACTAATCCTGCTGAGACTGTCCTGCTACTGGTGCCATCCTGAAGTCACCTGGGTACTGCCAGCAGTCAGCTTGCCCAGGGGGAAGAAACTCACTCAGCACTCTGGGGCTCTAAAGCTTCTAAGAGAGCCTCCCACTGGGCATAGGGGAGGAGAGTAATAAGGTATCTCTCCCAGTGTCACAGAACTTGCTCAGCAAGGTAACACTGCTATTTTATCAGCAGTGTACCACTCCTCAGAAACCCAACCCTGCCTCCCTGTCCAGGACTCTGTCATCAGAGCTCTGGGTTAAAGCAAAAACCCCTCCCTCCTCAGGGCTACAGGATAGGGGGATTGCCACTTTTACCACCTTATGGTGATGGGTACAGGGGCAGCCCGCTCAGGGACAGAAAGAAAGAGAGAGAGAGAGAAAGAAAGAACGAAAGAAAGAAAGAAAGAAAGGCATGAAGCCATCAATTATTTATGTATTGATGGGGGGCTTGTATGAGCCAGAGTCTCACTGTGTAGCTTAGGCTCTACCTTCCTGCCTCAGCCTCCTGAGTGCTGGGATTACAGGTGTGCATCGCCCTTCCCAGTTAAAAATTTAGTTGATTTTTATTGGACAAAATTCTTGATTACATTTCCAAGTATTTGAAAATCCTGGAGTCCTCAGAGCCAACAACAGTGTGTTAAGTGAATCCAGGACACGGACTAGGAAACCACGGAGGCCAGAAGTGCAGGAAATCAGCAATCGCTCGCCTGCCATGGGAGGAGGGGAGCATCAGGGCACCCACCTACTTGTAGGTGTGCTGTTACGGATTAAGAACTGGTGATCAACTTAACACCAGCTGGATTACATCAGCATGGCACTGAGCATAGATGCTCTACCCTAGTAAAGTAGCCAGCATAAATAGAGATGTGGAGGAGAAGCTATTGCATTGAGGCATTGTGGGTTCTCCTATGTGTTGCTGTTTGAGCCATTGGTTCTCCTGGAGATGCTCTGGTCCTCACATCAAGCATCGCTTCCTGGCTCCGGAGGGGAAGACGTGTGCCTCTTGGTCTCCAGGATGAACTTGTCATGCTAGCTTCCTGGTATGTACTCTACTGTGCTTGTCAATGGAGGAGCTCGGGGCCTCCGTGTGGCTGAGGATGGCTGTGATGCCTTTCAGGACAGCCCTGGTCTTTGTTGTGAGTGTGACTTCTTGGCTCCAGGGTAGAACCCTCATTCTACCAGCACAGCTCTATCACCCCTTGGCATGGACTTTCTGGCTTCCACCACTGACCTTTGGGCCTCCCCAGCATGGATCTGTAAAAGAGACTGGTGTGAGTCCTTCTTGTGGGCTCTGACCTCCAGATGGACTCATGGGAGACACTGTCATGAGCTTTAGGTCTTCATCTGGACTCATGTGAGACATTGCTGTGGGATTTAGGCCCTTGACTAAATATTCTATGTCTCTGGTGTTGCAGATAGATTCCCTGCATTTTCTTGTGTTAACTCTTGGTGACCATCATAACACAATATTATAAACTCCATGTCCTGATTCTATTGTTCTGTGCACAACCCCTGACTACAACATGAGCTTTCATGGGGGTCAGAGGGCGGATGGTTTCGAATCAACTGGGTCACATGGGAAAAGGAGGAGGGCAGGGAACCTCGGGGACGAAGTCACTGTCCAGGACCTAGTGGGAGACTAGAAGGGAGCTCCACCTCACCGGCTGCTTTATGGCAGCCTGGTGCTGTGGCCTCTGGACTTCCAGCCTCCAGAACTGTGAGTGAGCAGGCTTTGGTGTGAAGCTGCCAAGTCGGGGTGGCCCGGGAAGTGGGGAGGATACACACTGGGCCCTGGCACAGGCCACCTGCTAGCGGCTCAAGCCCAGGCAGAGCCAATGTGGCTCTCCAGATACCAGGTTCAGCAGGAAAGGTCAGTTAGGGGGCAGAGCCAGAAATATCCTGCTCCCCACCCCGCAGAGGGCGCTGTGAACCCCATGCTGACTCCCACGGCTTAGAGGAAGGCTGAGTTTGGTCAGCACAGAAAGGCCGTTAGCTGAGGTGTGTAGCATTGGGAACCTCGAAGCATCTGACACTTGCATAGCCCAGTTTCTAAGGGCACAACACAGAGCAAGCAAGCCAGAGAGACCTCAGCCCACAGCAGCCAGAGGGCAGCACAGGAATGGTCACCATGCAGCTGGACCTCAGAAGAAGCTGCCCCAGCAGGCCCCTCGGAGGAAAGAAATACATACCTCGACAGTGGACAGGTAGCAGGTGAGGAGGAGGAGGTAACGATGGAGGAGGTCAAATCCACTCTGGGCAACCCTGGGCAGACAACTCTGGAGCAATGGCCACAGGCCACAGGAGGCCAACAGAGGGCGATACCCAGCTGCAGGGCAAGCTGATTCCACCTGCAAAAATGGATGAAACGCAGGGCATGGCTGTGCCCACCAGTGGTTGTACCATTTGGGAGGCTGTGGCAGGGGGTTGTCTCAAATTCAAGGCCAGTGTGGGCTCCATAGTAAATTCAAAGCCAGCCTACGCTATAAAACAAAACCATCTCCGGGGGTGGGGGGAGGAGGAAGGGGAAGTGAAGGCATGGAAAGTGAAGCTAGGGCTTGGCGGAGGGGCTACAAATTGGCCAGAGATGCTAGGGGCCAAGAACAGAAATAGGGCTGGTAAGGAAAGTCCTAAGGGCCACTTCGAGATGGACAGACAGGACCTGGTGACCGTAGAGTGATGGCAGACAGCAGCTGTCTAAGTGGGACAGGGAAAGGACAGTCCAGCTGGAGAGAAGGCAGGGCATAGACAGCTGAGCTGTGAGCTTGCCGGGTGCATGGCCGTGGGTATCGGGTGTGAGTCTAACGGGGCAGATGGTAAGCGCCAGGCATGCTGTGCAGATTCACATGCACGGGTGGGCTCGGACCGGGGCTCCCACCACAGAACACAGTATTTCCTTCTGCCAGGGTGGCATACAGCACAGGCCTGCTGCAGACAGGGGAAGACGGAAGTGCATGGCAGGATGGGAGAGCTCAGGTGGACAAATCCAGTGACACTTGGGCGAGGGGCAGTAGAGAACAGCACTGAGGGAGAGCATTAAACCTGAGGGCACTGAAAACGGGGGAGGGGCAGAGAGTGACTGCTCTGATACCAACACACAGGCTCTGTGACCCCATCTATTTACTTGTTTGTTTTGAGACTGGGTCTCACTAGACATTCAGACTGGCCTTGAACTCACTTCGTGGCCCAGGTTGGATTCAAACTCTGGATTCAAACTCCTGCTTTAGCTTCCCAAGTGCTGGGATCATAGGCAATGCAGCCACACCCTACTCAGTGACTCCTTTATTGAGGGTGGGTTGGGCTCATGGAAGGCGAGCTTCCCTCTGGGAGCTGAGGAGAGCCTGGGAACCCTCAGTGAGCACGCAGGAGGCCTCTCACTTGTTCGAAAGATCACTTTGGCTGCAGAGCCAGAATAAAGGAACTTGGAGGCCAGGGAGCAATTAGGAAGCGGCAAGCGAAGGGAGCAGGGGACTGCAGATCAGACACCCAGGAGCAGAGTGGACAGAACTTGGGGTCAGGCTGACCCCTGGAGGCACAAAAGGGCCCAGGCCGTGCCAAGTTCAGGGATCAGGTTCCTGGGTGATTTCCCAAGGTAGTGTGACACAGCCAAGGTTGGGGCCTCAGGGTGAGCCTGGCAGGCGCAGAGGAGCCAGTGCAGGCAGCCAAGGAGGTGCAAGTTGAGAAAGTCCAGGCAGTGCCACATAACTGAGCTGTTAGCTTTATAAAAGGAATTGGTAAAGTGCTAGCAATAAGAGGGCAGAACAGGGAAGGTCTCTGCTACACTTGGCAGTTTTTCTGCTTACACTGGAGACACCAGAGGGCACTAAGCTTCGGCACAGCCCACAGCTTTTATTCTAGTACTTTTGGAGGCTAAGGCAGGAGGATCCAGGTTCAAGCCCAGTCTGGCCAACTCAGTGACTTAGGGAGACCCTGTCTGAAAATAAAAAGGAGCAGCACAGGGAACCCTAAAACTCAAGGCCCTCTGAAAGGTATAGTCATCTTCATGCACAAGGGCCTTCTGACACAACTCAAAACATAAAGATAGGAATTTCTTAAATACTTGGAGAGATGTTTCCGGTACAAACATTTTCATACTAACAGTCTTTAAAATGAGTGAAACAGAAACCACTGATAATAAAGCGATGGATTTGGGGACAAGTTTGTTACATCCATGAGCCCAATGCTTGATTATATCTTCTATGCACTTACCAAACCCTCACCCATTCCCTTATGCAGGGTAAAGTGCATGCCATGGCTCGGAAATTAGCACAGGCTTGAAAGGTATTAAAGCTGATTTTAAAGTCCAGGCATTTTCCAGGATCTAGGATTTCCACACTGGAAAGCAGTTCCCCATGCCGCTGTAGGCTTTGGGGAACACACTGTACTGTCCTACGCAGCCTGCCTGACCCGGAGAACATTTCTGTAGAGAGGGTCTGCAGATGGAGTTGAATTAGTTGTGCAACAAAAGGAAGCCTTTGAGATACCAAGAGAAAATAAGAGGCAGCCCTGTTCACCAAACACCATTTAGGAGAGGTCTGTGACCGCGCGCGTCTCAAGCCGGTATCCAGCTTTACCCCAAGTCTCCCGCAGCTGCGCAGCGTCAGCCTGCTCTGGCAGGCGGCACCCACGCAAGAGAAGGATCGCAAAGCGCGGGCCCACAGGCCACCCGCTGTGCGGCCCTGATCCCCTCCCCACTGGAGCCCCGGCGCTGGCCCTTGCCTCCCACGGCTCCCACTGGCAAGAAATGCAGTGACGATCGCCTCTGCTGCCACAGTGCAGGGTCCCACCAGACCCCAGCCCGCAGGTCGCCGCCGCGGCCGCCGCTTCTCGGATCTGCTGGACTCAAGCCGCGGCCGCCGGAGAGAACGCAGGGACCCACGCGCGGCGCAGACACTGCCCGCGCCCCCTTGCCCCGCCCTCCCGGCCCCAGCGCCGCGCGCCTCCCTCGTCCCGCCCCCCGGCGCCTGTCGGCCAATCCTGGCGCCGCGCACGTGACGAGCGCTGCCTGCGATGACCTCATCCCTGGTGTGGGATGACGTCAAATTCAAGATGGATGGAATCACAGCGGCAGCGGCGGCTGCGGCGCGCGCGAGCCGAGTGTGAGCGGAAAGGAGCCTGGCGCCTGCCTCGGAGCTGAAGAGCGGTGAGTAACTGTCAAGTCCCTGGGTCTGGGAGAACTGTGGGGCCCCATGGAGGGCAACAGCCTCCCCGCAAAATGCGGCCTTTCCTGACGTAACTCTGAGGTGATTTCTCTCCTTTTTCCTCCACCAGCGGGTTGCGGGCACAGGACCCTTCTGCGCGTGCGCGGCACCGTGGCGTTTACTGAGCATGCTCGGTCTCCCACGTAGTCGCCCGTGCTTTCACATTGCGCATGCTCTGTGCCCGCACTTGGCCTCGCCCTGGCTACTGCGCACGCGTGGTCCTCTGGCCGGCAGAGTGATTTGCCCCAGTGGTGCAGCCCGGGGTGGTTGTCTCGCAGGGCCGGGGTGCGGGTTTCTCTGCAGAGCCGTTGCTACGCCCTGCGGGGGAGGGCGCGCGCCACTGTCCGGGCAGGTGCAGAGTTCGCTGGGCCAAGCGAGCGTGCGCGGAAGCTGGCGGGCGTCTGTGGGGAACCCCGCACCTGCCGCGCCCGCAACGCAGCGTGACAGCGCAGTGGCCAGGTTGGCCCTGCGGCCTGGGGCTTCCCACGGACGGTCGGACCTCGGGGGCACTCCCCTGTCGTTGGCGGCCTTCGCCTGGGACACGGGGCTGGGGAGAGGGTCGGGATGCCATGCAGTGAAGCCAGCTGCACCCCGCGCCCTCTCCGGCTCATCCTCATCACTCCGACCCCCATCCCCACAGCACATCCGGCGTGTGCTGGGACCGCACCGGGTGCCAGGTACAGCCTGTGCACTCGGAGACCCCGGGGTATTCCGCGGCAGAGACCCGCACCCGGGCAGCACCGGAGAAGGGTTCGGACAAGTGCCTGATGGTGGGGACGCAGCTGGGTTGGGACCCCTCCCCCAACCTGGGACTTTTCCTGTCGTGCGTGGGCTCCCTGCCTGTCACCTCTAGCATCAGAAGGCATGTGTGTTACAGCATAGTCCAGCGATTGTTCACCAGCATGACCCTGAGTCATCAGTTACCCAGTTTGTGGTCGGTTCCTCCACCCTTGCTTAGGAGGACAAAAAACGGATTCGTCCATTTTAAGATTTCCTATTAAAACTCAGTTTTTAAAACCTACCCTCTGATGCTGAAGGGAGTAAGTCCTGCCTCATCTCTAATGACAGACACGTTAACCAGACCTCTGCATGTCGGCGTTCAAGCAAAAGATCCTTGAAGTGTTGGCTGATTTAAAAGTAACTTTTCACTTACTTCATCCTTCCTTTTGGCACTTTTGAAAGTATGGTGTGTTTTATTGTATAGAAATAAAAGTTGAAGAAAATACCAGTCCTCCCCCAAGCAATTTATAGTATTTTATGTCAAGGAAAATAAATGAGTATGCTGGTAAAGTTGAAAACTAAAAGTAACAGAAGGTGGCAGAGGTTACTAAGGAAGTCTCCAGACAAGGAGGAGGTGACTGAGGAGACAATTTTGATTGTCCTCAAAGTATATGAGGACACGAGGGCAGATACTAGAGTTGTCCAAGGACTAGGTTTATATGTCTCGGCAATTTGCCAAAAGGGACAGTGGAGGGGGAGGTCCAGTAGACCTAGCTGTCAACTCAAGCAAGCAGAAATAAGAATGGGGATCCAGCTGCTATGCAGGACCTGTGGCATGTAATGTGACGAGCCTAGGCAGCAGACATCCTTCATCTAAAAGCTATTAAAGCTGTCGGAGTGGGCAAAGCAAAGAAGGTGCTGGGTGCAGGGTGCTGGCTCTGTAACAGGTGAGAAATAGCAGCCAGCAAGTCCCCTGATTGCCCTCTCACTGTACGGGACATCTGCCGGGCCCTGAGCTGGATTTGAAACCCACAGAGGGAAAGGAGCTCTTCCTTAGGGGGAGTCTCCAGAGGATGACAGCATGGGCACTGCTGAAATAGCTGAGGGGTTACCATTAGCAGATGGGTATTCTAGCTGTGCAGGTGGCCGCTGCTGGCCAACCACCATTGCGGAAGTTCTGTAGAGATCTTGGTGTTTCCGCTGGATCTTTGTGCAGAAGGCGAGTCAGGTGAGGCAGAGAAGGTATTACATGCCGCAGAACTAGGTGTGCTAGTCGGGAGGGCAGATGGTCAGGGTGCCCATAAGGGACAGAGATGAACTAAGACAGCTCGAACTGTGTGTCAGGCTGCAGCTTGCAATAAGAAACAGTGGGGTTCTAAATTGGAGCAGTGATGTGACCAGCTTTACTTAAAACAATAAAAAGGCATGGTTTCCACTCCTGTATTCAACTTGAATAGAGAGGCCAGCAAAACCAACCAATATTTATTGTTATGCACGATACCACACTGGGCACTGCAGAGTGCAGGCGATAGTAAATAATTGATCAGCCTTAAATAGTGGACCTTCCTGCTGAAGCAGAGCCCCAGGGGCTCTCAGCAGACAGCGGAGAAGAAGCAGGTGTAAATGCTGCCTACTGGGACGACAGGAGAACTGCAAGGAGGTGTTCACCGATTTGAAGCTGACATAGTGAAGGAAGGAGACTGGGATGTGGGCAGGGCTCGTCCCTCCTGCAGCCTCTCTGCTGACCTGCAGGTAGTCTCTTCTCTGTGTCTTCACAGGGTTGTTCCTCTGGGTGTGTTTTTGTTCTGGTCTCCTCTTGAGGACACTAGTCACACTGGACCAGGGCACATTTTAACTTAGTTGTCTCATTTTAGCTGAGTTATCTCTTTAAGACTCATCGCCAAATATCACTGCATGCTGAGGGGCTGAGTCTTAGGATGTGTTTTCAGAAGCAGCACATTATCACAGTGAGTAGCTAAGGGAAAGAATTTTTAAAACACTAGTAATTTGAAAGCCAGCTTTATAGCACCTTGGAGCCCGTGTTTCTCAGATTTTGTGTTTTGGCCTAATGGAGAGCTGTTGCTATTACTGTTCGATTTCTAACTAGGGCATAGGCTGGCTTCATTCATTCAGACCCTAGGTCTCCTACAAGGCCTTTCCTGACCACCCTCTGCAGCCCCTGCTGCAGCAGCCCAGGAGCCCTCACTCACATGGGGCCCTCATGTGGGAGGGTCTCCTTTTCCCATTTGTTTCCTGGTTAGATCTCAGCTCACTAGCAAGGGGCAGCTCTGTCTGAGCGCTCCATACTCTGAAGCACCTAACCGCGCCTGCTCAGGAGGAAAGTCGGGTAAGTAAGCCAAGTAGGTAACAGCAGGCCCGCCGTGTGTGTGGGAGGCCGGGCCGAGCTTTGCTTCAGGCAGTTCCGTCCAGCAGCAGCATTAAAGAGGGCTTGGGGGACGTGACAGGAAGGGTGATGGCCATGTGGGAATGGATTAGTTAGGGTTCTGTAGGAAAGAGAACAGAAACTGACCAGCTGGCTTGAATTGATTGTTCTTAGAGCTGAAGGGAAAGCTTTAAAAACAGCATAGGACTGCAAGGTCCCAAACCAGAGTGACTCCAGGCATCGGTGCATCAGAGCCAGGCTGCTCTCCAGGCCCCCGCTAGAATGAACCAGCCCCATTCACCTGCGGCCTCCATCCTTCTCCTCAGGACCTGCATTCCAGGGAGAAGAGTTCTCAGGCCCGGCCATGAGCATGTGCCTGCCACCATCAGACTGTGCTCCGGAGCTGCTGAGTGGCCAGGCTGTGACCTGGGCACCGCTGCAGTGTGGGGAGGGGCCACCAGTGTGATCTGGAGTCACACTGGTGACTAGAATACACCTGTGAGCCCCATCCACGGAGGAGGGGACAAGGAGGAGGTATCAAGCTTAACTGTGGGTATAGGCAGTAACCTGACTCTAGCTCATGCTGGAGGATTGCAGGACCCTCAGCCACCCTACCTGTGCAATCCAAGGCCCTGTAGATGTCCTCTGGGTTTCTAGTGTGACGATGAGACTGGACTCCAGCTAACTTCCTGCCCCTCCAAATAGTAAAGAGGGGCAGAAGGGCAGAGTGAGGGCTGAATCCAGAGGGCAGGGTATGTCTCTGTCCCCAGTCAAAGACAGGTGCTCACATGTGTGTCTGCGTCTGGGTGCCTGGCTGTGTCACCTCAGGGTCACAGAAGCAGTCTTCAGCGTGTGAGGCACAGTGTTGCCAGGGCACAGCTCTGGGTGACCTCGGATGTGAAGGGGCATTGTCCCGTAGGACCCGGGAAGACCTGGGTGGTCCAGCCCTGGAGAGGGGCTCACTTGGCACAGTTCTCCACTGTGATGCCCTCCTTGTTCACCTCTGATGCCTGAGAGTGGGGGGGTCCATTTGGTCCCCTGCTCATCTCCCACTCTTTCTGAGTCCTTGTACTGAGCAGCTTTCTTCACGTTCTCCTGCTTCTGTCCCCAGAATGCTCTTTGTGCACAGTCACTGCCTTCCCTCCATGCCCTCAGAAGGCGGCATTTCCTGCAGCTCATGCAGCCTTGGCATAAGGAGAAAAATACCAGATTAAATTACTTTAAAAGGGAGGGGTGCCCGACCACATCCCCTGTTTAGTACAGAACGAGTCTGAGGTGATGGGACGAAATAATTTTCTAAGATGCAACTCTGAGGCTTCGTGGTCATTCTAGGGAACTGAGCTAGTGGCCAGGGCTAGCCTTCAGGAGTGGAAAAGCCCAGAGACGGGACAGGTACCTCTGCCATGCCTGCAGCAGGGACATGGGGAAGGTGGCTGCCTCAGCCTTCCCTGCACCTCTGCTCCGGCTTTTGCTCCGTGTAACCCCACCTGCCCGGTCGGCCACCTGGGAAGCCTTCCTATCACCACGCCCCTAGCTCTGTGCTGCTTCACCTGCCTCCCCTCCCTTCACCACACCCCACTGGCAGAGGGAGAGGTAAAGAGAGGCATGTGCTGCCCAGGGGTTGTGCCCCTGCCAGTGTCACTTTGCTGGACCCTCCTGGAAAGTCCCTGTAGTGGGCAGAGTATCAGCTGCATGTGTGCATCATGAAAGCTGGGGCCAGGCAAGACCCAGTGGTCTGTAGAGGTCACTGCCAAGTCGGGGGCAGGCGCTGGTCTGAGGCTTTCCGTGGAACTGTTACCTCCACCATGGGCTGCTTGCCATACAGCCTGTCACTGAGATTTGGGGAAGCAACGTGAGGCGGGCAGTTCTGGCACATTGGGCAGTGTTGTGTGGAGATCCAAGTGGCCAGCCAGCCCACTGAGTCAGTGCATTTCCGGGAGGTCCCCTCAGTGTGTCTAGCTGCCCAGGAAAAGCCTTTTCCTTTCTGTCAGCCCGAGTTCCCGTTAGGAGCCCTCTCCATTTTTTTGCTGTGGCCTCCAAGCCAGCACCTGTGCTTGTCCAGCTGGGTGACGTGGCCAGTGCTGGTGACCGCAGTAACACCTGAGGCCCACCATCTTCAGTAAGCCAGGGAAGCCGTCTCACAGCTGCCCCTACAGGAAAATGGAATCCCCATGTTGGGAATCTGAACCAGTGCTGAGGCTGCGATACCATGCGGCAGAGCAGGGAAGTGAAGAGTCCCCAGAGGCCGGTCCGCACCCCGCTGGCTGCAGCAGCTCACAGGGTCACCTGCTGACGTGGGTTCTCCTGCGTTCTCCACGTAGCAGCTTTTGTCTGTGGCTTCCCTGTTAAAACTCAGTAAATGCATTCACCCACTAGAGTTCTAGGGTTTGGGGTGGGAACCCAGAGTGGGGTCGTCTGCAGCAGCCTAGGAGAGGGGCCGTTATCTTCAAACCCCATTAACTGAGTTCATACGTCCACGCGAGGCCCTTCTGTGAAGGAGGCGTCCATGCCTCCCCCAATACCCCCTCAGCCCCATGTAGGGCTGGACCCTGACACCCCACTTCTGAGCCCAGGGGCCTCCCTCCAGACCCTCACCTCCATCTTCTCCAGCCTCAGGCCCTCTGCTCCCTGCGGCCCATTTTGCACCAGCCACATTGAACCTGCCGTGCCTCAGGCTCCGTCTTGTCCCTGTGGCGTTGCCTGCACTGCCCTTGTCCCTGTGTAGCCTTTGCCTTTCCCCAGTGCCTCTCTTCGCTGCCATCTCCACGGGGCTGTTGCCATGCCGGACTGTGTCCCTTCCTCGGCAGCCTGTCTGCTGCCTGCATGCTGGACTGGGCTGACACAGATTACCCTGGCCTATTCCTGTGCAAGGCTTCAATTCCAAGAGGCAGGCCATGCTCCGTAGATCCACATCCTCCTGTCAATAGAGTTCTGGAACATCTGGGTGGGTCCCAGCCGTGCAGCACACGCAGTATGATGCCTTTCAGAGCCCAGGCATGGCTACGGCCGTACCACCCTGGCGCGCCTGTTTTTACAGCTGTCTCGGTGGCTGTGGGCAGTGGGTCTTCAGTTGCTTATTTCCCAACTTGTCAGACAGGAATGGGGGTGTCTCTGACAGTTGGAGGAAACAAGGCAGCAGAGTGTGGGTTTAGGAGCTCGGCCTCTGAGTGGCCCCCTGCTTAGCTGTGTGGTCTCCAGTGAGCACCTTACTGTCCGTGCCTCAATTTCCTCGCCTGTACAGCACGGACAGTAATAAAACCTGCTTTCAGAGGTTGTGTGAACCCTCAGCTAATGCACGGTGTTTGCACACACACGAGGTATTCGAGTGTACCATCAGGGTTTGCTTGGGAGGAATGGGAATAGTACCGTACCGCTCTTATGCTCTGGCTATCAGGGCCTCGGACTCCTTGGGCTAGTGGGCTGATGATGACTCCCGGGGAGGGTGGGGCCAGAGTAGTAGTTTCATCCAGCGCCCACCAGGTTTTCAAGCAGAGACCATGTTTATCTATAGCTTAACTCTTTGTGACTCTGTTATTAGGTATTTTTGTTCAGGGAACATAGAAGCCCGTGCTCCAAGAGATTGGAAACAGTCACTTAGAGCAAGACCCATGAAGCAAGATCCTTAGAGCAAGGGCCGTGAAGAAAGAAGAAGCTTCTTGGGCAGTGAGCAGGGAGAAGGACATTGCACATGGTCTGAGGGGTGTGGGGTCGTGGCCATCTCATGGCTTATCACTCTGCACTTTCAGTCTCCCACTGTCTCAGTTTGGTTCCCTGCAGATCAGGCCCAGGCGCAGAGTGTGGAAGTAGCTCGTCATATCAGAAAGTGTGTTTCTGTGGGTTCTGGGAAGCACGGGACGGGAGGTGAAGGGGCCCTGAGCAGAGGGTGAGCCAGGCAGGGTTCTGCTCACGGAGGAGCACTGGGCCAGATGCTGCACTGAGCGGCCGGCCCTTCTGTGGAGGCTCGAACCCTTTCCTCTTGTTGTCCCACAGCCTCTCTATAAAATCCTGGTGGCTGTGCCTTTCCCTCTCTGCCTCCTTCTGGTCCCGGCCCCCTGGTGGTGGCAGCAGTCTCCTGCTGGCCCCGCCTTCTACCCTGGTCCTTCTGTCCTGCAGTCTGCTCCCCACAGTGTGGCCGGATTTGCTGTCAACCATGGAAGCAGAGCTGGGCTTCAGCACTCCTCTGCCCATGTCCCAGTGCCCCCAGCCCCACACAGCCTTGTCCCCTCGCTGTTGTGGACTGCACTGGTGCCAGGGCACAGAAACCTGCTCTCTGCTCCCCTCTGCCATGCTGTCTTCCACTGGGCAGCCTCTCAGGAATCGGGTGTGTTGTAGCTGCTGGGTCAGTGGTAGTGGTGTTGCCCTCTCAATAGGAACTCCAAGCAGTGGCCTGGAAGCTGCTGTCTGTGTCATCATTGTGGTGCACACTGAGGCTCAGAGGCGGGTTCATCCAGCACCCCGGCCTCCAGCTGTCTTCACTCGGACCCACAAAGACAGATGCACGTTAGCGCTCACCCGGCGCACACCTGCATGGATGCCAGCGTCTGTAACCCAGGCACTGTTCAGCCCTCACTGCCCACAGCCTGTACTCTGGCCGAGTTGGGGTTCTTTAATGGCTACTCTCCAACCATGTAGGTAGATAATAAGACTGACAGGTCACTGGTCCAGCCTTTGCTCTGTGTCTGCTGCTTTTCCCTGTGGCAACATCTTCGAAATTCTTAGTGTGGCACACTGCCCGGCGCAGCCAAGTCTAGGCCCAGGGTGCGGCAAACCAACTTCTGCTGGGCTTATTTTGAGGAGAGGGGCTTTACACAAACAGATGTGCGACTGTTAGACTAAAGGGCTGAAGAAGTCCCAGGGACTCACAGAGCCAACAAAGAGGGACTCACGCTTGCTACGCTAGGTCAGCTAGGCGGGCTTTGCCGTTTACCCTGGAAGATAGGGCTGAAGCCCAGGGAAGCCTGGCAGGCCTGGGCCAGGCGCTGGTGTGGCGCCTGGCTGTGGGCACCATCCCAAGAGGCAGGACCACAACCCGAGTCAGCCCCTGATGCTGACCAGAAGCGGGAGCGGTACTGAGTGTGTGCTGCATGGGTGGCTCCTGGCTGGTTGCACCATGGATTCCTCTCTGGGTTCCACTTAAGAGGGAACCACAGAGTGCTGGGCCCGAAGACTGTGTGGTCCATCTGCCCCAGGCCCACTCTGGGTCATGAGGCTGTCACAGATGTTCCTGCTCATTCTGGATCCACTCTAATAGCAAAATAAATGTCATGATGGTTTTGTGGCTGTGGCTGTGGCTATGGCTGTTGCTGTCTGTGTGAGATGCTGGAGGTGAAAGCCAAAGTCTCATTCGAGCTGCACCAGCCATACACCACTGAGCTACGGCCTCCACCCCTTCCCGTGTGTTAAAGATGGCTTTACGGAAGCAAAGCAGGGATATGCTTGAGTAGCCTACGTGGGAGGGTCACCTGTGGAGTGCCAGGCTTCTCAGGAGCACGTCTGATTGTTTCCTTTGATACCAAATTAAATGCCCATTAATCCTGTTCTTTCCAAAAGTAAAAGCATATTTAATGGGTGCTTAGCATGCTTGAGATGCTGGCTCCACCCAAGAGACCAGAGCAGAGGCGGGCATGGGACTGGGGCGAGGCTGGCAGATGAACGGGTGGCTCAAGCCGGGAGCGGGCACCAGAGCAGACGCTAACTGGCCAAGTACCCTCAGCTTGCTTTTAAATTGGAGGAGAGTTTCAGCGAAATTGCAGTTGAAATCTCTGAATTCAGTTTAGAACCAGGCCAGGTTTTCTGGGTGCTGTTGTTGGAAATGTGATGTGATGAGGTGACAGTGGTCAGGAGTGGCACGGCAGTTAGTGTGAGAAAGGAGACACTTGCCTGACCTTGAACGCTTCCAACAGTACTTACACACTGGCCAGTTAGCGAGTGGTCTGCACTTCACAGCCCTCTGCCACCTCTCCTTACCATGTTAAGGACATATGGGAATGAAACTAGAATTATAGACTTAGGGGTTTTAATAATTCTTATTTATTTTCTGAGTTTCTTAGAACCAAGAATCAAATGGGTAAAGACCCTTAATACTAAATCTTTATTTTCCTACATCAAGTATCATATGTCACTTCTCTATCTTCTTGCCAAGTTCTAGAAGCCTTTGGTGATATAAAAATCCTTATGATTTTTTTGGGGGCTGGGCAGTGCTAGGGATCAAACCCAGGGCCTTGTGCATGCAAAGCAAGAGCTCTCCCCGAGTCACCCAGCCCCCATGTGGCCTTCAGTTCTGAAACTCCGTCACTGTCGCATGATGTTTGGTCTGAGCCGTGCCCTGTGTGGTGTTGTCTCTGCCGCGGTGGCCCCCATGGGCCCAGGCTGCAGCCCACCCTGGCCCTCGGAGCCCTTCCCCGCAGAGCACTGGCTGCTGGCGCTGACGGCCTCGTCTCTGTCTTTCAGATACACCGTGCGATGGAGGGGCTGCTGCACTACATCAACCCAGCGCACGCCATCTCTCTGCTCAGCGCCCTCAATGAGGAGCGCCTCAAGGGACAGCTGTGTGACGTGCTCCTGATTGTCGGGGACCAGAAGTTTCGAGCCCACAAGAATGTGCTGGCCGCCAGCAGCGAGTACTTCCAGAGCTTATTCACAAATAAGGAGAACGAGTCCCAGAGCGTCTTTCAGCTGGACTTCTGCGAGCCGGACACGTTTGACAATGTCCTGAACTACATTTACTCCTCGTCGCTCTTCGTAGAGAAGGGCAGCCTCGCTGCCGTGCAGGAGCTGGGCTACAGCCTGGGCATCTCCTTCCTGACCAACATTGTCTCCAAGGCCCCGCAGGCCCCCTTGCCACTGTGTCCCGGCAGGAAGCGGGTGTCCGTGGATGAGGACGAGGCTGGCTCCCAGAAGCGGAGCGTCATTGTGTGCCAAGGCAGAGGAGACACACCTGGGAAGGCCACCACGGTGAGCCCGGCCGACCTCAGTCCTGCTTCCCGGCTGTCCCCCAGTATCACGGCCAAGAACGGGGCCAACAAGCAACACATCCCGAAGCCAGCGGAGCCACTGACCAATCTGTCCTTACCTGACAAGAGCTGGCCAAAAGATGGTACCTCGGTGCTGGCCAAGTCCCTGGAGTCCCCCACGGAGGACCCGAGCAGAAGCAGTTTGGGGAAGAGAAATGCGGCCCTGCCCTCTAAGCCTGAGCAGGACAGAGAGGCCTCAGATGACAGGCCAGGGGCCAGTGGCCCACTGCCGAAGGGCAAAGCCATTGAGCTGGCTCTGAGGAGGCCACGTCCGCCGGTGCTGGCCCTGCACAGCCCCTCAGAGACGCCCTATCTGCTGAAGGAGACCGGCAAGGGTGGCCAGGGTGAGGAGAGGAACCTGCTGTACTACTCCAAGCTGGGCCTGGTGATCCCGTCTGGCAGGCCTGGGCCCGGGACCCAGAGCATTGACAGGAGCGGGCCCCTGGTGAAGAGCTTGCTGCGCCGGTCCCTATCAATGGACAGCCAGGTCCCCGTCTACTCCCCTGCCATAGATCTGAAGTCCCCACCGGGCTCGGTCGCAGCAGCCAAGGACGCACCGGGCAGCATCTTCTGTGCTTTGTCTCAGAAAGCTGCGTTCAAAGACTGTGGCGACAGGAAGGCGGCCCCAGATGGCTGCGCCCCCGTGCTGCAGCCACACCGCCTCCGATCCTTCAGCGCCTCACAGTCCTCAGAGCGGGAGGCCGCCGGCCCGGTGCCTGAGCTGCGCATCAAGACCGAGCCCAGCAGCCCGCTGTCCGAGCCCTCCGACATCATCCGGGTTACTGTGGGCGATGCTGCGGCTGCAAGGGACTCATCCCTGAAAACTGAGGAGGACCCAAAGGACATGAGCAGGCTCCCGGCGAAGAGGAGGTTCCAGGCGGACAGAAGGTCGCCCTTCAAGAAGGCCAAGGTCAGCGAGCACGGACCCCTGGCTTCGGGTGAGAACTGCGAGGATGGCTTGAGCCCCCCTCCCCTTGACGGGGACTTCCCAGATTCAGACTTGCACAGAGACGAATTTGGTGAGTTGGAGGGGCCGAGACCCAACAAAAGGTTTAAATGCAAACATTGCCTTAAAATCTTTAGATCAACAGCAGGTCTGCACCGCCACGCTAACATGTACCATAACCCAGAGAAGCCCTACGCCTGTGACATCTGTCACAAGCGGTTTCACACCAACTTCAAAGTGTGGACACACTGTCAGACCCAGCACGGCGTGGTGAAGAACCCGTCCCCGGCCGCGAGTGCACACGGGGTCCTGGATGAGAAATTCCAGAGAAAGCTGATTGACATAGTGAGGGAGAGGGAGATTAAGAAGGCCCTGCTCCTTAAGCTGCGGCGCGGCCGGCCGGGGCTTCAGGGCGCGGGTAGCTGCCCCTCCCCGGCGCAGCAAGCCGTCAAGAGGACCCTGCGCCCACGGGCCAAGGGCACGTACGTGTGCGCGCACTGCGGAAAGGCGTGCCGCTTCCTCTCGCAGCTGAAGCAGCACGTGAGGACGCACCCGGGAGAGCGAGCGCTCGGAGCGCACCGGGGCGCTCGGCCCAAGGAGCCTGCGCCGCCGGCCCCGGGCGAGGCGCGCTTCCCGTGCCGCCTCTGTAATGCTAAGCTCTCTTCTCTTCTAGAGCAAGGCAGCCATGAGCGCTCGTGCCGGAACGCCGCCGTGTGCCCCTTCTGCAGCCTCAGGTTCTTCTCGGCCGCGCTGAAGCGGGAGCACGAGGCCGCCTGTGAGTACCGCAAGCTGACCTGCCTGGAGTGCATGCGCACCTTCAAGTCGGCCTTCAGCATCTGGCGGCACCAGGTGGAGGTGCACAACCAGAACAGCATGGCGCCGGCCGCCGCCGAGCGCCGCTCCCCGCCCGTGCCCGTGCCCGAGCCCAGCCCCAGCCCCGCGGAGCCCCCGGCGCAGCCCGAGCCCGCGAAGGCCAACCACGTGGCTGCCGCTACTGCCGCTGCCACTGCCGTGCCAGCCAAGGAGGACAGCACGCTCAGCGACTCCTCGGAGCACGTGAACTTTGACTCCGAGGACTCGGCCTGCCTGCCCGAGGACCTCAGCGTCCCCCGGCAGCCGAGGGCGCAGGTGAAGGAGGAGCCCGCCAAAGAGGCTGAGGAAGAGGCGCCCGAGGCCAGCGCACACCGGGTCCCGGGTGCCCGCACGGAGGCCGGGCTGTGGCCCTGTGAGAAGTGTGGGAAGGTGTTCCCGGCGCACCGGCAGCTGGAGCGGCACCAGGAGCTGCTGTGCTCCGTGAAGCCCTTCATCTGCCACGTGTGCCACAAGGCCTTCCGCACCAACTTCCGCCTCTGGAGCCACTTCCAGTCCCACATGGCGCAGGCCGCCGAGGAGCCGGCGCAGAAGGAGGCGGAGGGGGCGCCTGCGCCCACAGACTCGCCCTCGCCGCCGCCCCTGCCACCGCCGCCGCCCCTGCCCAAGATCCAGCCCCTGGAACCCGACAGCCCCACCGGCGCGCCGGAGCACCCAGCCCCAGCACCTGAGAAACTGTTCGCCCCGCAGGAGTCTGACACCCTCTTCTACCACGCGCCGCCCCTCTCAGCCATCACCTTCAAGCGGCAATTCATGTGCAAGCTGTGCCACCGTACCTTCAAGACGGCCTTCAGCCTCTGGAGCCACGAGCAGACGCACAGCTGAGCCCAGCCGAGCCCAGCCGGGTCCACGCCGCAGTGAGGCTAGGATAACTGCTGGGAACGGGAGGAGCCCTCTGCAGGCTGGGGAGCAGACTCAACACCGCACAGCTGCCCGCCCGCAGGTGACGGTGACCCGCTGCTGGGGGAGTCGGAGTTGCATGTATCTCGTGCCTGGGGCAGCGTGATCACTGGCGAGGTTTCTGGCGCTAGGTAAAGTGAGCTGTGTCCCAAGACCAAAGCCTACTGGGAGGACGTGGAGTCACTGCAGTGTTGATTTAGATCCTAAAATACCTTAGCAATAAGAGAATGACAAACCTCAAGTTTAATAAATTATCCTGACACTTGATAAAAACCAATAGTTGGTATTTTGTGGTCATGGAGAACTTTCTTTTTGTATGAAAATTGTGAGAAATTGAAATCAGCAATAGATGCACTTAAGTTTTTATGAGGTAGCCGTCTGGCCTCATTCTTGGTCACCCAGTGTAGGCTGACGGCTGTACTGTAAGAAGACAGGGACAGAAGCACAGCCTATGGGGTCCACTGCGCCCAGTCCTGGCGCTGCCCCAAGGAAGGACGGTCCACATCTGGCATCCTCCAAGCCCCACTACTGTCAGATTAAAAAGCTGAGTGTGGCTGGGAGGAGAACCAGGGCTGAGAAGCGGCACCCACCTCTGGGCTCCTGTGAGAGTGCAGTGAGGGGGCGCCCTGAGCCTGCAGGCAGGGGCTGTGCCTGCACTGGGGGTGCTGTGCGCACTCAGAGTCCTGACGAGGGACCAGCTGTGCATGCACTGGGGCCTCCCCTGTTGTGCTCATTGTGATTAGGAGAGTTTAGAAGGTGTTGCCCACAGCTCGGTGACATTTCAAAGGGAAAACTCACCCCACTTGTGTGGGGCGGGCTAAGAATCCCGAAACAGCAGGTGTTTGTCAGGTAGGGACGCTGATTCAGACTCCCAGTTACATGGTTGTTACCAGCTGTTCCAGATGAAAGTCTGCCACTGTGGCTGTGAGATGTCTTTGGAGCTGTGCTCTGGCCGGAAGGAGCTGTTGCCAGCGTGCCCCGCCAGTCCTGGGCAGGTGCTCTTGACAGAAACACAAGCGTTTTTATGAACTACTAACTGACTTTGTATATTAGAGAAATTATATATGAAATTTTGCCTTTTATCCTTCCACTTGAAAAAAAAACTATTAAAAATCCCAAAATATTTTAGTACTTTGTATTTTGTTCTTCAGTTTGATGGAGAAAGGGAAGATAAAGTTAGGTTGCAGTTACTGATTCCTGCTGTCTTTCTATTTCTTGAAGAAATCTATGCATTTTAAAGTGGAACCTGACCTTTTCCCGAAGGCAGCGTGGTGGCATGTGAATTCTCTCCATGTGTCACCCCGTGTTGCTGGCTCTGAGCACCCTGTAGCTGTCACTTCTTCAAGAGAAGACAGAGTCACCCACATGGCCTCTGTGGGCTCTGAAAGTTCCAGAACATGTGGCACCTTGGCGTTGTGCAGGCAATATCCCAGGACTGGACCTTTATGCCACATTTTTGAAGGTTTTTAAAATACTCTTAATCAGTAAAAAATACTTTTGATCTAAATACAGGCTCTGCATATCTGTTAAGAGTTTAACAATTACCAGTGTTTTTGTCCTCTTCACATTTTTGTCTAGGCAAGAAATACAAGATTTCAAATAAAATTTTGAATCAAAAACATTTATAAATGCAGTTCTGGTTTTTCTATTACTTTTTATACTGTACCTTAAAAGCATCAGGCTGAAAGAGTTTATTTTGGTGGTCAAAAAAATTTAAAAAAAGCCTCCACTGGTATAACTATTTTAAATGTTAAGAAGTAGGATAATGAAAGACACATTAATTGCTTTTTGTAAAGAATGTTTACCTTGGCCAGCAGGCAGATACTTGGTGTAAAATACATTGGTCTTTCACCCTTGCAATTCTTTAAATAGTAAAAGTATTCTTGTAAATGTTTTCCTTTGATTGTAATTAATTTTTAAAAAGCTAGACAGTTCATTATTCCTTGTAAGTATTCAGGATGCCTGCTTTTTTATGCAGTTGTGAAAGAATGTAAAATGTTTAATATATTCTGTTAATCTGAGAACTCAGTTATTTTTTTTATATGGTGAATGGAGGGAGTAACAAAATGTGTTTTTATCTTTCAAAGTAAGCAATGGAGGTGACAGTGTTGTGCATTTTAATTGTACTATTTCAAGTTTAATACTAGAACTTTCATCTTTAAAGCTAGCATAGATTTACAGTTTTTCTAAACTGCAGTTCAGTAAAAATGTTACTTACTTTTGTGGGGAGATGTGTGTCCTCACTGGGTTTCTGTTTCAGTAGAGTTTTTCTTTTTTCTTGTTTTGCCTTTTTGAGACAGGGTCTCGCTGTGCCATTCAGGCTGACCTTGAACTCACTCTGTAGCCCAGACTGGTCTCGAATTTGTAAGGATCCTCCTGTCTCAGCCTCCTGAGGGCTGGGATCACAGGTGTGTGTCACATACCTGGTGCGAAAGATCATTTAAGGCCTTGTGCATCTTGGCCAACACCAAATGGTTGTTATCTAAGTGCATGTCACCCTCTTGGTGTCACCAGAGGAGGCTGTGGCACAGGTAGAAGGCAGCCTTGCTGGGGGCAGGTCTCAAAGAGCAGACGAATGTTGCCCTTGGCCATTCCGTGATCTGGAACCATAAGGAAGGAAAGGATTTGCATTTTCCTGGTACAGAAATAATTAGGTGTCCTGACAGATTTCTTTATAACCCTCACCCAATTAACCATTGACTATTACAAATCACTTCATTGATTTCTGATGTCCTGATGTTTTTTGCAATAATTGTGAAATGCATTATTGATTTGAATAATGCTGATCCACATTTAGTAAGTGTTAACGCTGAGTACTATGCTGTTAATTTGTTTGTTTGTGTGTTTTAAAGACAGGTTTTCCCCTGTGTGGCTTTAGCACTTTAAGGACTTGGATGTTTGCATAACCCTAAGATCTCCTCCAGCGGGGCTGGGGGCCGTGCTGGGGGCGGTGAGGATCTGCACAGGGCTAGAGGAGCCTGAATGAGTCTGGCCAGAAAACAGAAGTGAGTTCTTGTGAGGTGTTTTAAAAAGTCACTTTAGAATCAGGCTGTGGGGACCCAAAGTATTTTACTATAAATCTTTAAATAGTCACCGAGCCTGGTGTTCTTCCACCAGACATCAGTGCCATTAGGTGTATGGTGACTCGGCCTCGAGCATTCACAGGTGATGACCGTCATTGCCAGGGACCCCAGCCTCAGCTCCCTGAGTGGGTGCTCACTGCTCAAAGAGAAACAGACGGGGACTTACAGATGTGTCTGTTCGTTGTCCTTCCTGCCTCAGCAGAGGAAACCTCGGCTTTAGGAATAAGGTTTGGGACGAGAATTAATAGTGAATAGAACCGTGTTACTCCATTGCTTACTTGTACCCGATTCTGCTGTCTGTTTACTTTGCTGAAATCTTGACTGAGAGTGATTGGATTCAATAAACGTGTGCTGTATTTTGCTGAGTCCTGGTCTCCTTGGTCTGCTGGGCATGGTGGGGGCAGGGTGACAGAGGTGGCAGGGGTGGAGCTGACACTGGTGATGGTGAGCAGCAGTGCCCCAGGGTGGGGAAGTCAGTGGTTACCTCCCGCCTCTGCCTTGAGCATTTCCAGCCTGATGTGCAGTTAGAAAATGAGAAGCCAAAGGCTTGGCCGCCTCTCCCCTCTTTCGGGCCGTGGTTTCTTGCCTGTCTTTCCCTTTACTTTCGGAGTGGTACTTTTGGAGGGGACGGGGTGTATGTGGGCGCAGCTTTCAGGGTGACAGCTGCATGGCTATTTCCATTCCTAATTTACAGGCTTCAGTGCTACAGCCTCTTCCTGCCCAGGCACCCTGTCCCACACCTGGGAGGACACCCTTCCCTAGTGACCACCCTCGCCATGGGGACTTGAGATGTGCTGGGGAGGTGCCAGAGGACGCCACCTGCCCCTGGGGGTGGGAAGGTACCCAGAGGGGGCACCTGTCCCCGGGGGCGGGAAGGTGCTGGAGGGGGCCACCTGTCCGCGGGGATGGGAAGGTACCCAGGGTGGGAAGGTACCCGGAGGGGGCCACCTGCCCCCGGGGATGGGAAGGTACTCAGAAGGGGGCACCTGCCCTCGGGGTGGGAAAGCACAGGGAGGGGAGCACCTGCCCTGGGTGGAAAGGCACCCGGAAAGGGGCATCTGCCCCGGGGTGGAAAGGCACAGGGAGGTGGGCACTTGCCCCAGTGCTGGCCTGATGGCTGCACTCCAAGCTGGGGTTGCTTCTCTGGGCAGGGCCTGCACATCCTACCGCATACAAGTGATCCAGGCCCTGCCCAGAGAGGCAAAAAACTAACACCAACAGTAGAAGACAGGCAGCACCGTGGGCCACCCCTCACTGCAGTGCTGTAGCCACCAAATGTCTTCCTGAAAATCCCAAACAAAAAGGACTTCACAGACGTCAGCGCAGGCTCCAGACAGTGGCTGCAGGTGGCGAAGCTGCACCCTCCTGTTTAACACCCTTCCCAAAGGGCATGAATTCAGGTGTCCCGCACCCTCCACAGCAGGCGCCTGGTCACATCATCCACCTTGAGATGACACAAACCCACCCTGACCACTTACTGTGGCCAACATCCTGTCCTCCAGGAAACACTGCCTGGCCGCTGGCCACCCACCCTGCCCAGGCCAACTCAGGTCAGGAAGCACCCAGGGCCCTCCACGTCCCCCGTGCTGGGAACAGCAGCTTTCCTAAGTCCCACACACTTGTGTGCTGCCCACCAGACTTTGGGGTGCAACACTGTGGGTACATTCCTGGACTGCTGAGTGCCCATAGGCCGCCTGTGTTTGTAGAGCTCCTAGCTGCAGGGTAAGAGCCGCAGGCCGCATGCGAAATCCCCGCAGGCTGCTCTCCTACCCTGTGGCCTTCTCCACATTCGGGAGCCAGCACCGCACCCTGCCATCTGGAAGCCCCTCCTCCTGGCTCATGGCCCCATCCCCTGCACCAGGGTGAAGGTGCTGTGTCCTCGGGTCCCTTCGCTGGAGCTGGGTGCTTGCTCAACGCTAGGCACAGCCACATGTTTGGGGTGCAATGCACAGCACCGATGGGCTCTTCATGTCACCCCACAGGGTGGCACACGGTGCCACCTGTCCTCCACTGTTAGCGATAGTTTTTTTTTTTTTTCTTCCCAAATCCATTTTATTTCAAGGAGAAAAAGAAAAAATTTCAAAGCACATCACTCAGCACCAATGGCACATACACTGCACACTGTCACCCCCAAATCACTCACCCTGAGCACAAGACATGTGCAGTCAGCCATCCAAACAACACCAGCACACGTCTTTCTCTACAGTGAACTCAGAGAAAGCAGAAGTATAACTATCTTAACTATGTTTATATACATATACATATATACATGTTGTTTCTTTCAGCTTCTCACACTAGTGAGACAATACAATGTTTCTACATGCATGTCTGGTTTATTTCACTATGAGTATGGTCTCAAGTTGCATCCATTTACCTATATAGGCCTCCAGTTTACCCTTCTTAATGGCTGAGTAATACTCCGTTGTATATAAATATTACATCTTTTTTATCCATTCCTCAATTGATGAGCATTTAGGTTGTTTCTAGAATCTGGCTATTACGAACTGTGCTGCCATAAACATGGGTGCACATATATCACTGTGGCTTGACGTTTCAAATTCTTTTGGGAAGATATCCAAAAGGGGAATAGCTGGGTTAAATGGGACCTCTAGTTCTAGTTTTCTGAGTAATCTCCCAACTGATTTCCACAGTGGTTGCACCAGTCTGCACTCCCACCAACAGTGGAGAAGGGTTCCTCTTCCCTACAGTCCCTCTAATACTTGTTATTGGTTGATTTCTTGATGTTAGCCATTCTTTCTGAGGTGAGGTGGAATCTCAGTGTTGTTTTAATTTGCATCTCTCGAATGACCAATGATGGTGACCATTTTTCACGTATTTATTTGCTGTAAGCATTAGTTTTAATCCTTTTATCTGCATTAGTTTTAATCCTTTTATCTACGGTGTTTCCTGCCAGTTACTCCATTGATTCCTGTGGTGCCAGGAATCAAACTCTCCTGAGCTAACTCCCAGCCCTTTTTCATCTCATTTTGAAATAAGTCTTGCTGAGTTGCCCAGGCTGGCCTCAAATTCACAATCCTCTTGCCTCAGCCTCCTGAGCAGCTAGGATCAGAGGTACCAGCCTTCCGCACTGCCAGTTTCACCAGATGCCAGCACGGGCATCTGTTGACGTTTTCTGCCTGAGTTACTTTTCAGTTGTTAGTTCCCAAGTGCAGACTTCCTCATTGCACTGTTCTTTCATCTGTTTGTGGGCTTTCTACTGCAAGAAAGAATGTCCACCAGCTGATGGGAGCACGTACCTTCGATACCAGCACAGCACTTCCACGGCTGAGACAGGAGGGTTGCAGGTTCAAGCCCCACCTGGCTGCTTCCTACAGACTGAACCTCTGTGAAGCCGGCGAAGTCTGTCTTCCATCCATGGAAACAAACATTTGCCACCAAAGCGCCAAGGCTCAGGTGGGCAGGGATGAGCTGCAGATGCCTGCTGCAAACCTCACAGAAACCATACCACAGGGATAGCACGTAAGCCAGCAAAAGAGATCGGCGTCTGGGCACTGACTTGTCACTGAGACACAGCATCCAATACTGCGGGTTTATTTTGGCTGACAGCTTGTAGAGGCTCCAGTCAAGGCTGCACGGCAGAGAAGCCTGGAGAAGAGAGATGCTTCCAGCATGGTAGCAGAAGGAGATGAAGGGAGGAGGAGGGAGGGGGAGCAGAGGGAGATCGAGGAAGGAAGAGGGAGAGGAACTTTTCCAGGTCGCACCCCCGCTCTGACCAGACTTCAGCCAGCATCACAGTCAGCTGTAAACCCATCCATGGACTAACTCACTAATAATCCACTCATGAATGTCACACTCCCGTTATTCAGTCACTTCTCAAAACTCCACCTTTGAGTGCTTGAGGCTTTGGGGTCATCTAGGTATAAACTGTAACATATGGAATCCTAAAAAATGCTCCACTAATCTGAAAGAAGAAAGAAAAAGATGAAACAGAGAACAAAGGAGAGATGAGACAGAAGGAATTATTTTAAGTGATGCGTGAACTCCAGGGATTGTTCCCAATGTGCTGTACCCCAGTAGCACCTTTACACCCCCCCAAAGGGCAGTTTCCCCAGTGCTGGGGAGCAAGGCACCTCCAAGCACCTGCAGAGTGAGCCCCACTCCGCACAGCAGCACCTAGCCCACTGACCACCTCCTCACCTCCCCACCAGCTTTCTCCACACTTTTCCATTTCCCATTGACCACTGTTCTGGCTGCCTAGGGTTCAGTGTATTGAAAATCATCCTTCAAGAGCCAGGCATGGTGCCACATGTCTGCATTGCCAGCACCCAGGAGGCTGAAGCAGGAGGATGGCTGTGAGGCCTGGGCTACGTAGCGAGATGCTGTCTCAGAAATAAATAAATCTTAAATACCATATTGTCTGTCTAGTGTAAAAAACTAAAAGAGTAAATAAGATCTGAAATGTACAATAGATATTGTGAGAGAGAAAGGGAAAGAACAACTGGAGTAGGGGAAAGGAGAAAAGATAGAAGAGGGAGGAGCTGGGGATTTAGCTCAGCGGCATAAGCACCTGCCTTGCAAGTGTGTGGTTGTGAGTTCAATCCCTGGTACCGATAAAAAAAGAAAAAGACAAAAAAACAACAACAAAAAAGAAAAGATAGAAGGGAAAAGATTTATATATATATATACAAGATAGATAATTGTTCTACTAATCTCTGTTAGTTCATCAGAAGAACAGTTTGTGCTGTCATTGTTCCATTGTCTGATCATTTTTGTGCCTATGTCCTATAATCTGAACAAATACTTTGAAGATAACAGGCACTATATTAACCAGTGTTAGTCTCATTCCATTTTGTTTTGAAATTCTGTATCATCATTTTTTTTTTTTTGTATTTTGTATCTTTATCAGTACCAGGGATCAAACGCACGACCACAGGCCTGCAAGGCAGGCACTTACGCCACTGAGCTAAATCCCCAGCCCCCTGTATCATCATTATTATTCCTTTTTTAATTGTAAAGTAAAAAATAAATCTTTTCTTCATATATTTTGTCTGAAGTTTGGTTGTTCCTTGTGTGTCAGAAATTGCCCCCTCCCCCAAGCCAGTACACTTCAGTTTGTTAGTTGCCCCAGTAATAGTTCCTGTTACAGTTCTTGTTACTTCTATTTCTTACAAATGACTGGTCACTGTATGTTACATATGTTACAGTTGGTCACTGTGGCAGATGGTAAGAACCAATCAAACGCATCCAATTACTCTGCTTCTGAACTTCCTACTTGCAAACTCCATATAAGCCCCAGAGCACCAGGATAAAGGCCTGACTTTTTTTCTTACAGTCAGTGCCTGTCAGTGTAAGTAAATCTGCCTCCAAATCCTGGGTGTCATTTCGGGCGTTTGTTTGCCATAGC